TTGCTCCAAAACTTCTGCAAATCTTACAACTGCTGACTTATCAATTCATGTTTGACATCTAGCTATAGCTAATATGCGAGACTCATTGTGGTTATTTTGACTCAGGAAGAAGTTGGTATAGGAGAAGATGGGTCACAAGAGACAGTAGCACTTCTTGAACCTAATAGCTCGTTTGGAGAAATATCCATTCTTTGCAACATTCCACAGCCATATACTGTCCGTGTTAGTGAACTATGCAGACTCATACGGATTGATAAGCAATCATTTTCAAATATTTTGGAGATCTATTTTCATGATGGAAGAAGAATCTTGACGAACTTACTAGAGGTAATCACTCTTGGGCAGCATGCCGTTCTCCACTCATACTACCTATGGCTTCTGTTCTCTCTTTGTAGTAGTACAAAAATGGCTAGAAAAGTACATGTTCATGAATGTTAATTGTTCTTTTCTTTTTAAATATTAACATCTTTTTACATTAGAAGCACTTAATCACTCAAAAGGTCTAAAAGAGGTATTATCTGACAGGGAAAGGATCTTCGTGTGAAGCAACTGGAGTCAGATATAACATTCCATATTGGGAAACAAGAGGCTGAGCTTGCTTTGAAAGTGAATAGTGCAGCTTATCATGGTGATTTGCACCAGCTGAAGAGTCTGATTCGAGCTGGAGCTGATCCCAACAAGAAAGATTATGATGGAAGATCACCTCTGGTATTATTTTAGTTAATAGAAACAGAAGAGTTTTCTGGTTCATTACTTTTTGATATTTCAATGAGTTGCTTCGTTTAAAAAAAAATATTCTCTGAGTAACTATTAAACTTTTCTGGAATCAAAGCCAATTGAGTGTTTACAGTTCATGAGTGGACCGTAACTCTTTGTTCATAATGAGTTGTTTGTTTTCCAAGCTCATAAATGTCTTCCTTGAGTGTGCAAATCTGTAAATCACGCAGCATAGTTTGGTAGGATTTATCAGTTGTAACAAATAAGGAATTCCAGATTGAAATTCTGCAGGTATTTTTCTGTTGAAGTTTCAGACACTGCTTCTATAAAAATATTGATTCTGTCTTTAAGAAAAATAACCAACTATAATAATTCTAAAAGAAGGCTGAATTTTTAAAAGAGTTGAAAAGTATTCCTAATCACTGCTTTGTTTATGAACAGCATCTTTCAGCATCCAGAGGATATGAAGACATCTCTATTTTCCTTATCAAAGAAGGTGTCGATTTCAATGCTTCAGGTAGGTATTAAAACCTGTACTTGACCGGTGAACTTCCTTGTTCTCAAATATTTATTAATAATGTTTTTTTCCAAGTAGACAACTTTGGAAACACACCGCTCTTTGAAGCTATCAAGAATGGACACGATCGTGTTGCTTCATTACTTGTTAAGGAAGGTGCCTTCTTGAAGATTGAAAATGCTGGTAGCTTCTTGTGCACATTGGTTACAAAAGGGGATTCAGATCTACTACGAAGGCTGTTGTCCAACGGTATTGATGCAAACTCCAAAGATTATGATCACCGAACACCGCTCCATGTAGCGGCTTCTCAAGGATTACTCGCAATGGCGAGATTGCTTCTGGGAGCTGGTGCTTCAGTTTTTTCAAAGGACAGGTACCAGTTAAATATATATTGCTATATTACTGTAGTCACTTCCTTAACAGTATGCAATCTTTACTTTAGAGAAAGCTACCTTTTGTCATAAACTTTAAAGTAGACTCATGTGCTTAACATGTCGGGAAACACAAAATTTACTTTATATTGTTGCTGTCAGTATGAGGGGAGTAACTTTTTTTCTTCTTGATGATTGTTGTGTGGGGTCCATTCCCATGTAGCAAACTTTGAATAGCTTTCTGCCAATTCCAAAGTTTGACAGATTTGATGCTGAATTATTTTTCAGCTTTACTTAATTTTCAATTATACCAAGAAATCTTCATAGGTGAAAAGGTTGAAACTTTGTGTTTTTTGTGATGTCACTGGCGACATCGGAGTAGATTTTCCTATAAATACAGAGCTCTTGCTCATTTAAAAAATGCACCAAAAAGAATTTCAAAAGAGAGAGAAGAGTGAGGCATCACAAAGGAAAATAATTTGTGAAGAAAAATAGAGAGTGTGAGCGATATTGTAGTGAGATGGAAAAATCAAAAGAGTGTTATTTCTTTTGAATGTATAGTGGTCTTTGGAGTTTTACTCAGACATACAAGTGTAAAATCCTTACTATAGTGATATTCGTTGCTCCTCTCGGGTCGTGGTTTTTCCCTTATTTAGGAGGGTTTCCACGTAAAATCTTGGTGTTATTATTTCTCTTTTATTCTCGTTGATTAACCGTATTGTTGTGTTCTGCATTTATTGCCTTTATTACCGCAAATATTATTTCTGTTACGGATTTATTCCCAACATGTTGAATCTTTCATCTGGGCGAAATGGATTAGGATTCATATAGCCAACCTCAATTAGTTTGGGATTAAGGCGTAACTACGTTCTAGAATCTTACATCCATTATCTTTGGACCTTCTTATTCTTATTCTTTTTTAAAATTCCATTTTGTGGTTGGAAGGTTTTCAACTTTTGTTTTTATCACATGTAACATTTATAAAGTTACAATCGTCCTTTTATGTATGATTATCCTGACAGCTAATATCTAACTTTTACTCTTGCTATTTTTGAATATAATACCCAATCGATTTGAAATCACATCAACACTTTGCTTAAGATTTTTAATCATGTGAGAAAGTTATCGATGTTCTTAAGTTAAATGGGGAAATAGATCTTTTCCCTTTACCTTTGGCATTTAAGAACGAAATGTTGAGAATATGAGGCCTCATGTAAAAAATGAATGCCTTCGGAATGAACTTCAGAATTTTCTCTCCAGTGAATTTGAAGTTGTACTAATTGCTTGTCCTATTTTTCCTGTCATCAACAAAATAAGATAGAGACGAATTAAGATGAGAATGACTTCTCAAATGTGAGAAGGTCCTACCACAATTTTCTTAGGTGAAACCTGTTCTTTTTTAAAAAAACTCGTTGATGACCTAGATGAGATTATTGTCAAGTCCGTCCTGGTTTAAGCTCAAAAATCAAAATGCCTTGAATCATACATGATCATTGATCACAGTAGTAGTTTTGTTTACATATCAAGATTATTTCATGCTTAGTCAATTCTTTTCTTGAACTTGGTGTAGTTTCTTTCCTTCAAGCTTTCAGGCTACTCGAGGTGTATTTAATCATCGTGGTTTCTCTTTCAAACCATTACACTTTACTAGCTGAATTGTGCATATCTGTACTCATTTTGAAAGTATGGCTAGCCGTTTAAATCTTAAAGGGAACTTGTTATGTTGCAGATGGGGAAATACTCCATTTGATGAAGCTAGACTAAGTGGAAACAATCAGTTGATCAAGCTTCTGGAAGAAGCAAAATCTGCTCAAACATCGGAAATCCACAGTGTTTCACACGAGATTTCAGGTATTGCAGAAGCAACACCATCACTTAAAGCAGTGGAATATATTTCTTTTTAGGAGATTAAAGTATACACCCTTTTGTGGCACCACTGCTTATTTTATCTGGGAGATTCCTTGCTCCACCTGCTTTCCCTTTACTAATGACCTATAAAAAATGCCAAGAAACAATAAAAAGTGACGCGAAGAGGAACAAGAAAAGCGTTAGCTTAATGTTCATTATTACCTGTAAGTCATCAATCCAAAACGAACAACGGGAGCTGTAACTTCTTTTCAACTTAAGTTCCTCATGTCACTAGCTAGATTGTTACTTATCACCAATTCTTAAAAGTATTATCTACTAAGCTGTTTCAAGCTTGCTAACCATATTATATCCGTGCATAACAGAAAAAATTCACCTGCGGAAGTGTACTGTATACCCTATCCACCCATGGGAGCCTAAGGACCTCAGGAAACATGGTGTTGTTTTATGGGTACCTACGAGTATGGAAGAGCTCGTTACTGCAGCTTCGGAACAACTCAACTTCTCATCAGGCTCTTGTATTTTATCAGAAGATGCAGGTAAAATTCTTGATATAGATATGATATCTGATGGTCAGAAGTTGTACTTGATCAGTGAAACAACTTGAGAATACCCTGTCTATACATAGTTACCCCGTTCAGCTTTGGGGTTTGTATATTTTGTCAACCTAGTTGAAGATGAAATAGAATATCTACTCACTTCTGCTGAGTGATGATATCGCAAAAAAGAAACGTTCCCACTGTAGCAATTTATGTTTCTCGACTCGAGCGTTGTTTGTAGTGATATGGTATTTGTACCTTGCAATATCAATTTCTGTTGTTGTAACCTGAAGTCTTAATTTTACTATAGAAGGCAGTTTTTGCGGCAGGATCTGCCGTTACTGCAGTATTTCAATATAGTTTTCAAAATCTTGAGCTGAGATTCCATATTCTATTGGCATTTCTATATCTACTCCAGTTGTCTAGATATCCTATATTGACTCTATTGAGGGTTTGCACATTGATTATTATAGTATCCACACTCTTAATTTGTTTGTGAACTGTGTTGCTTCTCACTTTTAGCTTCAATCCCAGATTTGATCTTTTTTGGCTCTTTTGGCTTTAAAGCACACTTCTCTAACTTTTGTTTAGAAGTGGTTTTGTCAAATTGCAATGACCTAATTAACCTATGTATCAAACTTCACATTTTCAATATGGGTGCTTCATCCATGAACGAGAAGATTTGGTCTTGTGGTCCTTTACGAATTTATTTTTAGCTTTACGTCCCTTTTTTACGAGAGATTTTCATTTTTACACATAAGAAAGATCTGAAAAGGTCAGTTTCTTCTATTTAATTTGTAAGTGGTGATAAGAGATCATTTCCTGGCGAGTTTCGATATGAAAGAGTAAAACCTTATGACCTGATTAAGGAATCTGGTTTTTGGCATTATAACCACCAAATTCAAAAGCTAACCAGAGTTTAGTCATCAAACATTACAAACTCATGCTCAAGTTACCTCAAACTGTTAGTTTATATCTGGAGATGTCATCTAAAACGAATCGATGATAAAAAAAATAAATAAGAAGAAAAAACATCACTGCTGAAAGATCCCTCCTTTTCTTCTGTTTCTAACAAAGTAAGAAAGTAAATACTGTCACCAAGAATTCTTGAGTGGCTTCTCCAACAGTGCTGAAAGATACATCTCATTCAGCTCGGGTCCTCTATCCAACTTCCGCCCTACGACCCACTTGACCTTATTGAACCCAATGCTTTCTATAAGGGGAGCATAGACTTGTTCAAACTGCTCACCAACACAGAAGAAATGGTCAAGCCAGAACAGCCCACCAGGTCGAAGCACTCTATAGATGTCGAAAAGCAAGAAGTGGAGCAGTGTTGATGGTATCCAATTACTCAACACATGCATTGAGTGGACTATATCTAGTGTGTTGTCAAAGAAAGGAAGTCTCTGTGAAATGCTTATATACAAAGGTATGACTCCTCTTGATGCTATAAATGTATTGAAAGGACCATTGAGATTCATTGAAGTTGTTAATATTGTTATGTTTCTTTCTCTCATTCTTACAGCGAACGTAGCTACACCACCTCCAATGTCAAGTCCTATTCTGATTGTACCAGGCTTCTTCACTGCTAGTACTTCATCAATAGAGAAGTCCAGGCCTGCTCCCTTTGTCGACAACCAACGTCTTTTCTCTCTGCCATTGAGATCAAAGCAGTCTTTGCAATCATCAAATGATTTCTGTGATTTCACTCTGTTGATGAGACATTCATAAGTTTTGCAAGTATATGCTGTCCAAACAACAGATGAATCTGATGGTGTAGTCCATAAACTCTCAGGGAGAGGGTAGGGCTCAACATATTCCTGTTGAGCAGCAGGACGGCATCTGCGGCGAGGGAGAGGCTCACAACCTGTAAACAATCAAAAAAGAGTAAGAGATTTTGATGAACAAATTGCTTAATTCATTTTCCTATATATACAATCAAATCTCTCTATAACAAACAAGTTCTCTGTGGAACCAAATTTTCATGTTATGTTATACTAGACACCAGCGTTGTTGTAGAGAGGTTTGACTGTATAATCGTAAGGAACAGTATCATTTCACACTAACACAAACCTTTGAGAAGCAGCTTCTGTCCCAGGATCTCATCATCAGGGCAAGAACCATTGACTCTATATGACATGTAACGACGAAGTAAATCAGGAAACCTGGTGCACGGGTGCCCAACCGGAGGAATGATATTGTCAGAATCAAAGTTTGTGCTGAATCCAAACGGTAGTTTATGTGGAGATGCGAAAGCACGGAACTCAGATGGAAGGTCTAAATCAGATTCTTGAATATCATCATCTCTAGTTTCTGCAGGCTCAACAACCAAAGGGATATCAGTATTAAGTGATGAAGCAGTAGAAATGGCATTATATGTTTGTTGGTATAGGTAACAAGAAGAGTGCTTAAAGGTGTTAGAAATGAAAAAAGTGAGAAGATTTGAGGACACAAGAAGGAAGAAAAAGAACAGATTAGGGGAAAAAGATCTTGGCTTATGAGGTGAGTCCATGAGTTTTTTTCTTTTGGTTTATCAAAGCTTTGATCCCTTCTTATATGCTTATAGATACAATAGTCAGCATGTGAAGTCCAAACCTTAGTGAGTTCAGAGTGAGCTAGTCTGATTTTATATAGAAAACAGGACTTAGCTACGGATACGACTGTCGCTAATCCATCGTTAAATAGGATTTTTTGCATATATATAACTAGTTCGAGCTGAAAGTAATGAGTTTACTGGGCCTAAGAAATTCTCCCTAGATCTACCTTTGGTTTCACATGGACCTACAAAGTCATACTTTATAAAAAAAAAATAATACTTATATCATCACCAAAATCTAAGGTTTGTTGTTTATAGTTTCTTAATATGAGAAGTAAGAGGGGAAAAGAAAGTAACTTCTTCCTTCGTCTACTTTTCGTTGTCATTGTTTTTTTCAGAGTCAAACTATAAGAACTTTGATTAACAGTTTAACGACGTGTTTTTTTCTTCATATTGATATCAAACAGTTTATATAGTTTTGGGGAAAAATGTTTGAAATATATCCGAACATTGATCGACATTGTTGCAATGATACCAAACTTTGGAAATAGAAATAACATTTTACTCCCTACACTATTTAATAGTGTATTTTAAAGATATATATGTGCCCACGTGGACATCATAAAATAGTAATGTGTTCACGTGACATATATATACTTTTAAAACACACTATTATATAGTCCAGAAGGGGGTAAGAGGTCCTCCATAAAGTTTGGTATCGTAACAACAATTTCGGCCAAAGTTAGAGAAATTTTCAGACCATTTTCTCTATATTTTTGAATATAGAATTTTTTCGTTTATAACATAAAAATAATGTAATCTGATGTAACTTTAAGAATTAGTCAAATTGACTTTCGAAAAACGCAACATAACAAATAAAAATAGACCGAAGGAATAACACATTTCCAGCTCTAAGATTGACTTGTGTGTTTATATAATACTATAGTTTTGTTTCAAAGTGTAGATGCATTTAATTACTTGTGAGTTTTAGTGGCGCATTTTGAGCTGCATATTTTGCGGATTAAGTCACATGAATAGTTTAATACTTACTTTGTCCGATACTATTTGTCATAGTTTTTATTTTTAGAGTTAAAATTATAAAAATTTTGACTAACATTTTAAAATGTATTTTTTCATCATATCAATACACAAAAATTGTAATTTATAGTACTTTTCATATAGTTTTAGAATATCTAATTTTTTGTTTAAAGTATCAAATTAATGTGATCTAATTTAACTTTAAAAATTAGTTAAATTAACTTTCAAAAAGCGCAATATGACAAACAATTCTGGACGAAAGGAGAAACAATTTCTTGGAAGTTGTATTGACTAGTTTTTTTTTCAACACATAGTTGTTGAAGTTCAAGAAACGTGTACAATTTTTTGTGCTTTGTGCATTCATTTCCCATAAAATTTGGATCGAGAATAGAAGGTAGTATGTGTGTGTATATATTATGGTTCAACCAAGAATTTGAACAAGTCAATTAGGGGATTAAGAAAATTCGAACTTGCAGCTAAGTGTTTTAGAGCTAAGATTTTCACTAAAAACTACAATCTTGTATAATATATACGTGAAAAATAATAGTCTTTTAGTTTATGTGATGTATTTTTTTTTAGTCGGTTTAAAAAAGAATGACACATTTTTGTATTAAGTAACAATTTAACTTTAAAATCTTTATTTTTTCCTTGATGGAATGATTTACACTACACAAATTTCTATGGCTTATTTTAGACCAAGGGTTCAAAACTGTTGTTTTCTTTCTTTAACTCGTCGAGTCAAACTAACTTATATAAAATGGGACGGAAGGAATATTAACTTTGTTGTGTAGTGTTTTTTCTAGCAGAGTGAAATTCGCATGAACTCCTTGCGAGCCTAGCTAGCTTCCCCTCCTGCTAGCTACCTAAAGCAACTTCTAACTAGCATTGTAATTCGATGTTCATTCCAGAGTTTTTTAGATAACTTTAAAATTAAGCAGATAATTTGCGAGCATCTTTGATAGCTTCTAAAGAACCTTATAATTACTTCATAAAAAGTCTCACAACAAATTCTTGTCTTATATAAATTTTATAGGAAGTCAATGCAATTCATTTATATATCAATCATTTTCGATATTAATTTTTGATATATTTATCGTGTAATTTTTATTTTTATATAATCTGTGTTGAGCAATCAAAGAAAATTTGATTGAACCCTTTCTTATTAGTTGTGGTTCCACTCAACTTATCTCACTCTTTCCACTTCGAAATGTCCTAAAATAAGTTGATATAACACTGCATGTTTTACAATTTCCATAACTCTTTAACCTTTAAATTTTTATTTTTTTTATGCTTGGTTTATTTGTCATGTTCATTATTTAATTATTACAATAATACTCTTTCAATAATGACTAAAATAATATCGTATACTAATCAAATTAACATATTTTAAGCTTGTCCCCTTTTATTCTGACCTCTGCTCTGCAGAAGGAGTAGTACATCTTTCATATAATAAGATCACAAAATATATATATATATATATATATATATAATAAGGTAATATATACTACCAGCTAAGAAAGTGGAGGAGAATGAGGCTTAGGTTACACTCTTATGTTTTTATTTTAATTCTCGAGATTCTCAATCATTCTTGTTAAATACAAAAATATCAATTTTATTTTTTTTTGTTTAGTACATGTTTGATATCACGATGAAAATCGATTAAATTTGAAATCGGACGAAAAAAGAAAAGAATATAAGCAGTTTTCTTTAAGATGTAATAATGTCAATATTTTTACTTGCAGATATTTCTTATGCTACTTAAAGAGAGTCGTTATATTTATAGAAACTTCTAAAATGACATTTTAACGAATTGATTCTATTTCTTAAACATTATACTAGCTGTGTGCGTTCAAATCTCATTATCTCAGTAGTCTAACACATTATTATATGTCAAATGAATTGTGGCATCTCCTAAGGTATTTTTGTGAGTCCACTCCTTTAGACCTAACTCTTTGTACAAAAGTGGATGAAGATAGAAAAAATACTTAGGAGTCGTTTGGTGTGATGGATAAAAATAAATGGTCTAGGGATGAAATGATAGTTCTCGGATCCTAATCGTTTGGTGCGAGGGATAAGAATATATAATTTTGGGATAAAAGTTTGGTGTCTTGTTTGGTTGATATGTTTGGGACAACTTATCCCACCATATATAGCATAGTGATGAGATAATTTATTCCATATACATGGTGGGATAAGTTATCATAGGATATATAACTAACTGTGTAACAATTAATCCTGGGTCAAATACATAAGCAGATCATTAAACTTGTTGGATTTTTTCCCTAAGGTACCTCAATTACGTCATTTTTCTATTGAATCATTGAACAACCCAAATTTGTTCCTTTTAAACAAACACCGTTATCTGATGTGGAACCAGATTTGTGAGGGGGATTGATAGAGGACATATATGTTGTTCCAGAGCTCATTAATCCAATTGATAATGAAAATGTTCGAGAATAATTGTGTTTTACTTAAGTCATTTAAGCACAATAGGAAACAAATGGGACTAACACGGTTTGTCTCCATTCTTTCAATCAAAATCATTATAATTCGAACACAATTGAAGGCATTTATAATATAAAAGCCAATCAAAATCAACCAACAGTGTTTTTAAAGGAACAAATTATGATTGCTTCAATGATTCAATAGAAAAATGACGTAATTGAGGTACCTGAGGAAAAAATTCCAACAAGTTTAGAGATTTATTTATGTATTTGGCCTTAATCCTGGGATAACTAGATCCCAACAAACGATATTGTCTTGTTTGTTTGCCATGCTTGAGATAACTTATCACGTATCCCATAAATATAATGAGATAAGTTATCTCAGGATAACTAATCTCATGATAATTTATTATGGAATAACTTATTCCCAACCAAACGACCCTTAAGAGTTAACATCTGGCTTTGATTTTGGTTGCTAGCCCATTTCGAATTCTTAAATGGGCTGAAGGGTTAATTAGGTTAATTAATCAAGACATTCCCTTAACTTAGATGTCATTACTTGAGTCCACCCACATATATATGTTGGTAAAATTTTTTGGTTTGCTTGAATTCTTTTCCAAGCCCTCTTGAAATGGCACAAGACAATTTCCTTCAAAGTTTGATCTAGAAATTGGAATCATGATTGTATTTTTTTTATGGTAGGGTTATATAATAATTTATATAATTTTTCAGGGTCTTTTTTTATTTTTAACAAGGGTGTTAATAATACGATTCAGACGATTATTTTATAAAATTAATAGCATATAATTATTTGATTATTTAATTTTATATACTTAAAAGTAGACTTTTTGGAGCCGTTCATTTTTCTGACTTCTCTTTAATATCAGTATGATTTATTTTTTATTTTTTTTAAAAAAGAAAATGTTATGTAAGAATCTTAATTGCAAACTTCTATAAGGCTTTGACTAAACATTTTTATTGTTTAAAAGATGAATGAAGTGACATGAAAGGTGATATGGATAGAGATCTATCCCACTATTGTTTTTATTATTATTTATATATATAGTAGTGTAAAATAAAGTTAAGCAAAGATAAAATGCACAATATTTAGATTATGAGAGTGGAAATAAATTAATCAAATGGAGATTCAAGAAGTGAATCTACTATAGGTTGTATTCAGTAAAAGGAAAAACTAAAAATATGTCTTCGAACTATTGTAAATGGTATTATAATAAAAATAACTTTTAGCGGCAACAAATTTTGACATTAATAAAGAGTGTTAAAATCTTTATCTGCATTAGTTAAGTATCATTAGAACCAATGTCGATAAAAACTTTGAGGACATATACAAAGAGTGTTAATTGCTGCTAAAAATACATATTTAGCGGCAATTAAGAATTAATGAATTAATTACCACGAATGATTATTTTTATGTAGTGTGGTATGCAGATACCCTCCGTTATACTTTTGGGGCATTGATGTCCCTGTCGTACGTCTAGAACCTAGAGCATATACATATCATTTATACAAACAAACATATATACGTGTCATAATCTTATCTACAGACTCGACACTTATTAAATATCAAATCGACGAATAAAATTGTCCACATGTCCCTATTTAGTCTCCATTAAAGTGAAGGACATACATACTATATTTTTGGGGCAATAGGGGCACCAACGTCCCAAAAGTATGACAGAGAATATCTATATGTTATTTATGATAATTTAAAATATATTTATCTTTTTCTCCTAATAAAAAAATAGTATGAGAGGAAAAATATCTGATACCTTGTAGCTCTTACTACTCAAAATCTTTAAAAAATTTTGTAGCTAATTATTTAAGATATTAGAAGGGATTTTATTTGATTAGACTTTGGGTGTTGATTACATATTGACTTGTAGTTACTTCCGCCACCCTCGATCCAAGGCAAATATTTATGTTTCATCATAAAAATATTATATACAAAATATATTTTACACGTATAAATAGAGTCCGGA